ACAATGAATTATACTTAAAAAGAAATCACATTTCAGTTTCTATAAACTCCAACGAGGAAACCAGAAAAAGATTAATTTTTAGTACACCGAATGTTACTTTCCCCAAATCTCAGAACATAACAAAAAAGTAATGTGATATTAGTGGCTATTCAGTCAACTTACAAGTAAATCCTGTGGCATCCAGTTTTCATTTTCAAAGACATATTGAGAATTTACCATGTATTGGGCATTTTGAAATGGAAATTAAAAAAATAGGTATGTTTCTATTCTCTGTTGCTAGTTATTTTAAGAATCATTACAACATGAAAAGCCTGAGCCATAAAAAGAACCAATTGATGAATTTGGAGTTGTATCTAAGAAATCTTTGTATAACCCAAGGTTATAAATGTGTCCTCCTATACTTTGTGGTGTTATGACTTACATTTAGGCCTATGATTCATTCTGAGCCAATTTTACATGTGGTGGGAGGTATGGATCAAAGTTATTGTTGTTATTATTATTATTGCACACAGATATACAATTCTTCTAGTAAAATTTGTTGGGAAAAACTATTCTTTATCCACTGAATTGCCTTTGTACCCTTTTCTAAAATTAGTTGTCTGCTTATATGTAGGTGTATTTCTAAATTCTTTATTTTGTCACATGGGTTGATTTTCCCATTGTTACACCAATACTACACTGTTTTGATTACTGTAACGTCATAACAATTCTTGCAATAATTGTAGCCTTGCAAATTTAATATTTTCCAAAGATGTTATTGGCTATACTATGCCCTTTCTTTGCATTTCCCTATGAACTTTAGAATGAGTTTGACAATTTCTTAAAAAAAGAAAAAAGTCTGCTAGAACTTTGATTGAGATTGCATTGATCTACTGATCAATTTAGGTAGAACTGTAACTTAACAATGTTGAGTCTTCTGATACATGGACATAATATATCTCTTCATTTATTAGACCTTTAATTATCAGCATTTTTTTTTAGTTTTTAGTCTTTCATACATTTTATCAGATGTTTTCCTAACTGCTTTATATTTTGGATGCTACTGTGAATAGATTTGTTTCCTATGATCAATTTTTGATTGTCTGATTTTATATTAGTTTATAAAAATACAATTGACTTTGTATATCAATCTTTTCTATCTTCCAACTTTGTAGAAATCACTTCTTAGTTCTAGTAGCTTTTTTTTCAGATTTCATAGGATTTTATACATAGATGGTCATGTCACTTGCAAATAGAATTTTGCATCATCCTTTTTTAATTTACTTTATTAAAATACTGAGTTTATTTCACAAGTATATTTTTGTCTCCCCACCATCTACTATGTCTTATCATAACATTCCATACATACTTAAAATCAAGCAAAGTGTGGAGTTCCATCTTAAAAACTAAACAGGCATTTTTGGACAGCACATTCTTGTCAATGGAACCTGAACGATATTTATCAAACATGATAGGGTAATTCTCACTTTGCACTATAAAAAGGACAGCCAAATATCAACTGTTATGGCAGTGAAGTAAGAAAATTTTAACCAACTGTTTAAACTATTTTCTTAGAGACTTCCTCCACTGCCAGAGATCTTGAATAGCCTCTTGGTCAGTCATCTGGAGGAAATTCTTTACATAACCGATGAACTTGGCTTCCACTTTGGGAAGAGAACCACCTTTTTCTACATTTGCTTGCATTTTTGCTTTAATGTCTTCTACAGAATTAGGTCCTTTCTGTGTTTTAGGAGTTTTTTCCTGTTTTTTGAAGGATTCTTGGCCTTTTTACCTTGGTGTTGACAGTTTTGAGTCTTTTCCATTCTAGTTTGATTTTTGTGCAATTTGGCTGAAGTATCTCATACAGATTTCTTCACTGGAGTTTTTCTTCAGTTTCCTCATCATGAAAATCATCATCATCATCATCATCATCATCATTGTTATTGTCATCTTCATTGGCAGCAAGTTTCACCTTTTTCAGTGGAAGCTTGCTACCACTCCCAGGGGCAGATTGCTTTCCAGACTTACTTAAGAGTTTCACATCCTCCTCCTCTTCATCTACTGATTCTGCATCTTCCTCCACAGCTACTAAGTGCTGTCCACTAATATGCACAGGCCCTGAGCCATGCTTCAACTTTAGGACAATAGGTGGCATTATCTCAAAACCCTCAAGGGAAACCATAGGCTGTACAGACATTTTCAAAGTTGTCAATGGTACTTTAATTGGACTGCCCTCATAATTCATTGCCTCTGCTTCAACAATGAGCAATTCATCCTTTGCACCAGCCCCCTAAACTGACTGTTCTTAAAGATAGCTGGTGCTCATTTTCATCATTATCCACCTTAAAGAGATAATCTTTGTCAGCCTTTAGTTCACAATGGAAAAGAATTTTGGGGGTCTCCAGGGGCTCATGTCCATGTCCATCAAATCTCCCATGGTGTGGTGGCACACACTTAGGTGGGAGAGAAGGCAGACAGAGAGAAACAACTACTGCTCTGCAGAACAGCCACAGAGGACAGAATCACACTAGGGACTGCATCATCCTTTTCCATCTAATGTCTTCCACTTATTTTTCTTGCCTAATTGCATTGGTCAGCATTTCCAGTACAATGCTGAATTGAAGTGATGAGAGCAGATCTCCTTGTATTGTTTCTGATCTTAGCAAAGAAGCTTTTATTCAGTCACCATTAAATATACTGTTTGCTGTAGTTTTCTTTAATTGTGATGTCTTAGTCTTATTTTGGTATCAAGGTAATATTGGTCTCATAGAACAAATTAAAAAATATTTTATCATTTAAAAAAAATCTATTTTTATTTCTATATTGTATACAATCGGTACTATTTTTTTCCCCTTAACATCTGGCAAAATTCACTAGTGCAGTTATCTGATTCTTGAGTTTTCTTTGTCAGGAGGTTTTAAACTACAAAGTTAATTTCCTCAATAAATACAGGGCTTCAGGTTATCTATTTCTCGTTGAGCATTGGTGTGTTCCAAAAAATTGACCCATTTTATCTAGCTTGTTGAATTTAATAACATAAAGTCATCTGTTATATTCCTCTTTTATTTTCTGTATAATTTGTAGTATTTTCACCTCTTTCATTCTTGATATTAGTAGTGTTTATCCTGTATTTTTTTCCCCTTGATTAGTTTAATAGATTTCAGTTTTATTGGTCTTCTCAAAGAATCAACTTTGGTTTCATTGAATTTTTAATTATTTTCCTGTATTCTATTATTCCTGTATTCTTGTACCCATATGATATAGCAATTCCACTTGTGGGTATATACCCAAGGGAATCAAAATCATCATGTTGAAGGGATACTTGCACTCCCATTTTATTTCAGCTGTATTTACAAATAGCCAAGAGTTGGAACCAATGTAGACGTCCATTGGTGGACTACTACATAAGGAAAATGTAGTGTATTTACACAATGGAATACTACTCTGCCATAAAAAAAAAAAAGAAAGAAAGAAATACTGCCATTTGCAGTAACATGGATGAACTTATGAAATAAGCCAAGCATTGAAATGTAAATACCACATGTCTTCATTCTTAAGTAGGAGCTAAATAAAAATAAACAGAGAAAGAAAGAAAGATACAACAATCACAATAATATATTAAACTTTCAAAAGCAAAGAACAGAACAGAGGTTACCAAAAGTGGGAAATGGGGAGAGGGAGAAGGGGTAAGGGAGGAATTGGTAAAGGGCCACAAAAAACGAGTGCATTATATAATGTTGAATATACTAATTATCCTGATTTAAGCATCATACATTGCACACAGGTATTGATATTCAACTCTGTACCCCCACAGATATGTACAATCAACTATTTCAATTGAAAAAAAAAACCATCAGTCCAAAATAAGATAAAAATGAATAAATATGCAACCCATACTCTCTCCCATTTCGCAATTTTTATCTACTTCTCTATTTTTTAGAAATTTCCATGACATTTAACAACATCTAACATACTATATAGTTGTGATTACTGTTTAATTTCTGTCTTGCCTTTGTTAAAATGTGAGCTCTATGAGGGAGGGGGTCTTTTTTATCTTGTTCATGAATGTATCCCAAAAGTACCTAGGAAAGTGATTGCTTTATAATACGTACTCAATAAAAGTTTGAGTAAATTAATAAAAAGTGGATAATAAAGCAAACAAACAAAAAGAAGTATAATGATCTTATATCTGAAAAGTGTTAGTAAAGTAATTAATTTTTTCCCTGGTAATATTTTATCCCTGGTAATATTCTTTGCTCTAAAATCTACTTTGTCTTATAATACTATACTTCAGTAGTACTCCACTGTTAAGATAAATAAATAATTTTTAAAATTTTATTTCAGATTGTTTATTGCTGGTATATTAGAAATATAATGATCTTATATCAGACAAATCTCTATTAAAGTCATAAATTTTTAAAGTTTGAAGTGATCTTAGGACTATCTCACCCACCTGCTTCATTTTGCCACTAAGTGAGACTGGAGAGGTAAAGTTACTTTTCAATACCACAAATCTGGTCATTAGAACTGCCCATACTTTCTGTTAAGTACTACTTGCTTAAACCTATCTCTCTTGATTTCCAGAACAATAATCTTTCCTCTCCAAGCATTGTTACCACAATGGGCCATTAACACAAAGTCCAAAATGGGATATTTATTGTGGAAATAGTTACATTTGTTATACAAATCTAACTTTGGTTCACCAACAATTTTGAATATCTATTTTTCTTTTTTCTATATTTATTTAAATATATAACAAATCTGTTGTTTTGGAGTTTACTTAAGAAAGTTCTTCTGAAATAAAATTCTCATTTTGCATTTTAAATAGGATTTCTAAATGTTCATTTTGCACTCATTTTTATTAATAAAATAATATTTGCTGAGAACATAGGTTTAAGGGACAGTGAAAACACTGTATATCTTATTATATGCATTATTATTTATATATGCTGTGTCATTTAATCCTATGTCATTTAGTGCTATGTCATTTAATAGACATACTGTTTATTCTCATTTTACAGATGAAGAAACTAAAGATCAGAGTTCGATTAGGTAACTTGTTAAAACTGAAACCAGAATTTGAGAGCAACTCTTTTTAATTCCAAATTTGAGAGCAACTCTTTTTAAGCTCTTTTTAAACTCCAAAACCACTAAGGCAGCATTTTCCAAACCTGTCTTCTTTGCCATATATGCATTTATCTGTATGGATCCCTGTTTTTAATTTAAACTGACTCTCATTCTATTTAAATACATTTATTTAAAAATCTTTTTCACTTCTTGAGATGGAAATCAATATCACTTGTCATAATTAAATGGTAACAAATAAAAACAGAATTTACCTGCTAAATTCCATGTTTACTTGCTGAAGTTCTTTTTCATTGTTGTTGAAAATCACGAGTAGCAAGTCATAAAAAATATGAAGACACATTTGAATCAAACTAAACATTTCCTTTAC